GAGTTATTGAAAATTGATCGTTCCGAATGGGGCCCCTACAGCGTAATCGCGGCCAATATTTAAATCAAATTATTAAAAATAAATAAATGTCAGAGATTCTTCTTTCGGGTGTTTTAATTAAAATTAAAAATACCAAGGTCTAGATGGATCGCCCTATACTATACATGTACATGCAAGTACGTATGTATTTATAAACATGCACTACCTTGGGCGTTTGCTTCTTTTCGATATTGTTAGTGTTTTTTTTTTCTTTTCTTTGTTGTACAATGTAGTAATTTCCCGCCAGCCGACGGCTCTGTGCCACTGCGTCGCGTTTTAATTTGCTGCATTATCTGCTGCCGCAGTGTGGCGTAGTGCAACAAGGAATGCTCTCTGCGTTTAAAACAGATAATATTTCCGCATTTGCCACGCAAATAACACACGCGCACACTTCGGCGGCACATGCTCAGCAGTGTTGCCATTTTGGTGCTTTTGGGGCTAGATTTTACTCTTTTTACCTTCCTTTTATTAGCTCGGGATGTAACTATGTAATATTGATGCGCCTAAAAGATGCAGCGATTTCTATTCTCAAGATACATACCTGATGACAGTACGAATGGCAATTATAATAGGGAGGTTTTAGTTTTTTAAACTATAATTTTATTATTATTTTGAATTGTACCAAACATTAGCCCTTAACTCTTTTTTTAGGCCTTTTATATTTGAAACATCCCTTTAAGGCTCCAAAAGTCTTATCTCAATTTTAGACATTTTTGCTGTTTGTGTGGAAAGCACACATTTTCAACTAAAAGAGTAATTTGAAGCAAAAATTTAAATTGGCCGCTTTTATTAAATTTATCAAAAGTTTAACATTTTCTCTTCGATTTGGGCATTCTTATGCTTCCCATTTTCGTTATAAAATTGTCCTTCATCCTGACCTTCTAATAATATTTTTTTTTTTACAAAGTGTATCAACTGAAAGAAATGAACAAAAAGTAACAATTTTCGTATAAGCTTGAAAATTTCCTTATCTTTCGAATTTAAACTCCTGAAACTCAAAAAGTATTATTCCGATTGACACAAAAAATATTTAAACACAATGTGGCTGAATATATCTTTCGAGGGATATCCAAAAAAGATTAGTTGTATTTGCTATTCTGTAGTTATTTTACCAATATCTCGAAAACGCTTCCTTGGGAAAATAAATTATACTTATTTTCATGTTTTTCCCCCCTTAATTAATCTAAAAGAAACCTTTCTTAGCGAAGTCACTTTTTTGTGTAAACTAGTGTAATTCATGAATTCGTAATTTATCTATTTTTTATGTTTTTTTACGAGTCTTAAGTTCAGTATGCTTGTTTAGAATGAGAATTGTATGTGTAATTGTATGTACCTAAACAAATAAAATTTTGGAAATTCGTTTTAAAATATGTAAATAGAAAATATTCAATCGATGAGTAATGAAACTAGCACTTTTCTTAGCTCTAAAATCTTTTATTTAGCCCTTTCTAGCTTCGTTTATTTTTTCTGAAGAGTCTAGCCCTAAATGGATATATATTTCTGGCAACACTGATGCTCAGCCAACACGTTGAGTTTTTATCCTTTAGCATACGCGCTCGCGTGCCTTCACTTCCGTCTACATTTTGTCTACTTTGCATATTTTCATATATGTGTATGTGTGTGTGAATATGTGCGCAAATGTATGCAACGATTTACAACAGCATATGAGTACGCTTATAAGGATATAAGTAAATATGCTTAAAAATATGTACGTACATAGTAGGTGATATGTGTGTCCTGCTGGTGTCATTCTGCTTGCTGTCTGTTTTGTTGTTGGTTCACCCGTGCGCCACATAATCAAGTCTCAGGGGCGCCATTCAAGTGCAGCAGACCACCGCAACCTGCTTTGGTTGGCTCCCGCTCACTCTTCATCTTCAACTGCAATTTTTTTTTTCTTTTCTTTTCCTTTCTACCGCTTTCGGCCACCCGCTGCTACACACGTTGCGTTCGTTCGCTTAATTAACATTTGCGTTACATTTTTGTAGTTCATTTATTTAAGGTTCTGTTCTACAAGCACACCTACGCGATCCTTCGCTTTGGTACGTATAAATAAGTGCATGTGCATGTGTGTGGGTGAATGTGTTTGCGCAAGCACATGCCCAAGTTTTTGTGCGCGTTGGTGTGCATAATAACGCGCGAAGCATGTGTGTTATCATGTCAATGGTGGGTGTCGAGACAACGAGAAGTTCTTAAAGCAATAAGTCAATGTGCCAATTAAATATTCTTAAATGGCAAGTACAATTTTTGTTGATGAAGGATATACATTTGTTTGGCTTTACAAAAAAAGTCGCCTTTTCAACCAGCATCTTAAATCCATTGACAGTTAAGGAAACCTTCGATTGCAAATATTAATACACACTTTTTTTATAAAAATTTAAACTTAAATTAATTTTACGATAAGCTTCTCAATAAGCCCTTTAATACGGCATCAACTTACTAATTTAAAATTTTTTCATGACGACTTATAAAGCAGAACTTCATAAAAGGTAGGAAGAACCTGAACAATCAATTCGAGTTACTACTGTCTACAATAAAACATTTCGAATTAATATGTCATCCAGAATGTCCAAAGTTTTTCAAACCTCAATGAGTTGTGTTCCATCATGCAAGCAGAAAAAATTCGTCAGAGATGAATGGAGTAGTGAAAGGATATACTACCACAGCCAGTGTACTTAGCTGACCTTATACCACCGTCAGGTTTGCACTTATTTCACTCTGTTCCACACTTCTTACTTTAGATGCAGCATTTAATCAGAATTCTTCAGTTCTGCGCCAATAAATATCGGTCCTTATACGAACGGGAAATTATGAATTCATATTACAAATGTACAAAAGTTATGTAACTTGTAATGTCCTGTCAGGTAGCCAGTTTTAGTTCTTAGGCCTCCCCCACTAAGGGTAACCTTTTCTTCAGTGGACTACAACCGGAATGTCCTCTGACGTTCTCAGGAGCCCTACAACATGTGCCTTGCATGCACCGCAGAAAGGCTGCAGGACGCATTGGAGTCCGAATTTCGCGAGATTTTCCTCCCTTTCGTTGCCAGCAAAGGCCTCATAACTTGCTGTCAATGACAAGTTAACCTTGTTATGGAATCGTAGTTTTTCCAGTACACTTTTGCAACTATCTACTAGCCTTGGCTTCATTTTATGTTGAGTTTGTAGACTGACGTTATTATCGGAGTTTGTGCTAAATAGTTCTCAAACAAACGATGTCTTAAAGATTTTCGCAGATATAACCGACAACAGTGATGTGAATTTTGAGGTCTGTTATAGTTTCCGGAGCACACGTAGAAAATGTAACTATTTATATAAATTTTGGTGCTTTTGGTGTGTGTCTATTTGCTTATCAAGGACCGCTTCCAGTATTTCAAGGGCCTCAATATTTCATACAGTCTAACCTTATATGCTATTTTGGGAAGCCTTAAAGTACGATAAATAAACTGGATTAAATTTACAAGTGCCCGACCAGCTTTGGATAATCCAGCGGCATACCGTCACCTTCAGCGTCTTTATTGTCCTCAAGTCTTACTTTTGCTGTCCTCACCTCCCTTTGTTCGAATTGCGGGATGTTAGTATCATCCCTACACATATATGGGTCTATGTTTTTCTTCATCAAACCAGCTACCCGTGACGAATTATATTAGGCTTCCATTTGCATCTCTGCAAGAGCTGACCGTGCTGCATTCCTTTCCGTCAGCATTTTAAACTCTTCTTCTCCTCATCTTCTTTACCATTGACCGGCTCTCTCGCTACAAGTTAGCTTTATTTGCTTCGTATTTCACTCCTGCTTTATATTCATACTCTTTGTCATCCCATTCATTCATACCAGCCTTTACTACAAATCATAAACTTATTACCTTTGTAGTATTATCTGCATATCCATCATATCGATTCTTAAGATGAATGAAAAGGAGCGGTAGTGAGAAAAAGTTTATTGTAGTTGACGGCAAACCCAAATATAATGCAATATTACTAGCATATAGATTTTATAGCTTTCAAGGAAAATTTGTAAAACCTAGTTCTTAAGTGTGCATATATTAGTAAATGCTATCGAACTTCGCACCCAACTTAGCCCGGCAGGCATAAAATGCTTCGCTATAGCGGACGCCGCTCTTTAGGCGCACAAACAAATATGAATATTGAAAATCAAAAGCAAACAACGAACGCAAGTTTACTGAAGGCAGATCAAATGTGATTAACTTTAATCAAGGACTTCCGCAATAGCACTCACTACGACACCACTACAGAAAAAAGCAAACACACTTTTAAATAAATATAAATATGCACTCATGTAAAAGCAGTTTTTTTTTAGCGTTTAATACACATACATACAAAGAGTGTTAAAATGTAAAGAGTAAATGATTAACGTATGAAGTATAAACTACTTCAAAGCTGTTTTTTTTATGTTTTGTACTTGTCTGTTTATCTCGAGTACATGAGAGGTTAAATTAGAATAAGCTCTGGCACACAGGAAAGCAATTTGAAGGCAAGTACCAACATAGCACATATGTATGTATATTGAAGTGACTGAGATTTTTACTAGCTTGGAGTGGAGTTTGAACTTTTAAATGGGAGTTGTGAAGAGCTTCTGCAATATCTACATACATACATATGTAAGTATAAACACATATGTGATATACTTAGGGTTTAACGTATTAGCGAGTTAGATGAGAACGATAATTGATGTCTGGCGATTAGAAAGTTATTAAACTTTACCATGAATCCATTGCGACGCAGCAGACTAGAAAATTGGTAATGAGCGGGAGCGAGCGTAGGGAGTTTGCAATAAATAAAATAAAATATTTGCGGTGGTTTTGCTTGTGTGCTTTGGACTAAGGAGAGTAGTAGTTTGGTTAATTATTAAACTATTACATAATACTAAATATGAACATATATTTAAGTTAACACTGACTTATTAAATATTACTTGAAATTCAAATTGCGCATTTTCTTTTCTTGCAGTTGCATGCCCTCCGTCGCCTTATGCAAGGCAGTCCTGATCATCCTAAAGCACCGCTTGGCAATAATTACCGACCACCGCAACCGCTGCTGCATCGACCGATACGCACCAACATTGATTTCAAAACGAGCAAAGTGAATGGCAAAGCTGCGTGTCCTACTATGTACCGCGAGGTCTACTATAAAGGTGAGAGTAATAAAACGTGCATAAATATATCGGAGTGATGAGTGAGTGAGTGATGTCTTTGGCTATGCTGAAAGCTTTGTACCTTTCATGAAGGACAGAAAATTTAGCTTCAAGCCATTACTTTAAGTATCTTAATGAGTGGTTTGGGAGCTGCATATTACACTACCCACTCCACCCTCCTCCTTATACTTAGAGATAAGATTGTGCCATAAAAATGTTCATCCTTGGCGAGTTCAAAAAATAGTCAAATGCATTGTTTTTCAAAAATTTAGGCATTCTAAGGAAAAAGCTTAAAGTTAACCGACGAATTTATTTACATATGTAAGTGATTAGTTCGTTTTCTGCAAATATTGACTTCTTTTGGCGTAAATTTTGAGTCTTCAAAGTGTTGCGAGTTGGGTTTTGTACATACAACTTTTATTTAAATATGGTGAAAGAAATATCCCTGCGTTCAATTTAAAGATCTTTTATATATTTATTTTAATCTAACGTTTTATCGAGGCTTAATTTTCAAGAAAATCTAAGCGACTTTTTTTTCAAGAATGTCTTTTTGAGGCAGAAATGTTCCTACAGCATCTATATGCATTTCTGCATCAAAATAAAATTTTGAAAATATTTTCGATTACCTCGCTTTGACGGTCAGAACTCGATATTTAAAAAATGTTAATGTTTTTAGTTACAAAACTGATTTCAAAATGAAGGTGAATAAGGTACAAATACAATAATACTAAGACGAATTTAAAGAAGATTTTTAGGTATGCAGTTTTATAGCTCATTAAATTTTAGTAGGTTAAGTTGTAAATTTCAAGACTCTGGAAAATTGCGTTGATTTTTAGCATTTTTTTTTTTTGCTGACGGTGCTAGGCATGTTCTTCCATATAACAGTAATTGTCGAACATACTTTATATGAAAGAACATGCACAACACCGTCATCAAAAAAAATAAAAATATTAAAAATCAATGCAATTTCCTGGCGCCTTGAAATTTGCACTTGCTCTACTAAAATTTAATGGGCTACAAAATTGAATGCCTACAATTTTTCAAAAAATCCGAATAAAAAGCTTTAAATTTTTGGCTGCAATTGTTAAAGTTTGTTGAATTTTTATAATTTTTTTTTTTGATATGTGGATCTATGTATATGTAATGTGCTAGACTTTTATATGTAAAAAAAATTTACAAATATTTAATAAACAAAAGAAAAATTGGCAAAACTGGTCAAAATGTGACTCAACTTATTCAGCGCCACAATAATAGATTGGCGCTTGGACAATGGACCGTATGCATAAAACCTAAGCAAATGCTTTTACTTAAAAATTTCAGACCTTTTACTGAATTTGTTCAAATCAATTTTTGCCATTGCCTGCCAAGGGGCGACCGCTATTAGAAAAATCTTGTTGTTTATTATGGTTTGATGCAGCTTCTGGGATCGATGGGGACTTTTGGCATTTAATTTATGTGTATTATTACCAAACTCAACACCGAAAAGTATGCAGTTAACCCTCTCATACCCGGATAAAATAGGGGCTAACCTTTTTTGATGGCATATTATTTTTGGCTGCGTCCTTGATATGAACAATGGCGAATGCATATCTTCAGTTAGCACAGAAGAGTAACGAATGGAGTGTTTTCTTGGACTCGATCAAAATAAATTAGGACATTGCGGTGTCAAACAACAAGAAGATAAATACTTAAAAATATATTTTTAATGACATGCAACACTTTGATATCGCGTCCAGCGTAAAAATCTGTGGGATGTTTTAAATGTTGGCTTTTTAGGACTTCCCATAGTTTAGAATTTTTATGGCTTCAAATTCCCGCCATATTCAGCATATTTTTTTTACTAATAAGCATACGATACTATGACTATATACGATGACTATGTATGTACATATGTATGTGTAGATAGCCAGTACCTGAGCTTGGCTTGCTTAATTTTACTTCTATTATTTTCTTTTGCAGCTACAAGTTGGAAACAGCATTGAGGCGTAACTTGGCAGTGGCAATGACAGCGGTAGAAGCAGCAGCAATCAAAGCCAATCGCAATTACATACGTACATCTCCAACTTGAATGTGCACAAACATACATATATTTGCACAGAGTCATAAAAAACATGCATGCATTCATACATACATTCACACAGCTGTACGTAAGTACACGTAAATCGGCGTGCAACAGGAGCTTCCATTAAAATTAAATTAAACTTGTGTATTAGGATTATATGAGAATTGTAAAATTGTGTAGAGTTTATTGTAGTAACATAAATATTTACATAGATATCAAATAACGCAAGTGTACATACATGCATAAATACATACATATATAGAAAATACTAAGTAGTGCGGTTATTAAAAAATTTTGCGATAAAAAATTAACATGCAAAGCAAAATTTAAAATCAATTGATTTGTGTACATACTTATATACATAGCTATATGTAGTGATAAAATAATAAAGCATATGTTGTATAATACAAGGAAAACTATGATTAATACATAAAATTAGTTAGTGCTTAGGGAACTCTGCTCCGGTTGCCCATTTTTTAGACAATTTGTGTATTTTGTGTGTTTGACATCACCTCATTCCAAGTACTTAGGGTAAGAAATTAAGTCTCATTATCCCTTTTTGTTCCAGTTTTAATTTGGTTGAGGTGGTTATTTTATTTAATAATAAAAATTTTCTCAGAAAATAATATCGAAATTGATTTTAATTTTCAATTTCAATTCAAACAATTACGAATATGTACATACTTACACATCGACACCTCCAAACCATACTATGCTAAGTTTGACTAAGTC